CGTCATCATCATCATCATCATCATCATCATGATAATGATCATCATCATCATCATCATCATCATCATCATCATCATCATCATTATCATGATCATCATCGCCAACATAATCATCATCAGCATGACCAACATCACGATCGTAATCGTGATCATCATCATCGTCAACATCATCATCAGCATCATCGTCACAACAATCATCATCGTCATCGTCCTCATCCTCGTCCTCACCATCCTCACTCGTCATCTTCATCCTCATCATCGTCCTCCTGCTCGTGACCCTCATCATCACCCCGATCCTCCTCCTCGTCCGCATCGCCCTCACCATTATCAGCATGACCCTCATCTTCGTCGGCATGTTCAGCCTCATCATCTGTCAGCGATCATCATCCCCATCATTGTCGTCCTCGAGCTTCCTGTGGGGCCAGGGCCACGATCCTCGAGAGGGGTGTGCCGAAATGAAGCCTCGGTGGAGCTCCCTGTGGGACCAGGGCCACGATCCGTGAGAGGGGTGCGCCGAAATCAAGTTTCGGTGGAGCTCCCTGAGCCACGATCCTCGAGAGGGGTGTGCCGAAATCAAACCTCGGTGGAACTCCCTGTGGGGCCAGGGCCACGATCCGTGATAGCGGTGCGCCCTTCGGGGCCTGTATGGGACTCCGCAGCAATCCCGAAAAGACCTTCCGAGCAACGCCGCCGGGCCCTGCAGACCCCCGCATCGGCCTGGCGAGGCCTCGTGGCGTTGCTCGGACCAGGGGCCCTGCAGGGCCCGTGCGTGGCCCCGTGGTGTTGCTCGGGGGGGGGGGGTGAGCAACGAGCCTCCAGTAGTGTCCTCGCGAACAACAGCAACAACAACAACACCAACAACAACAACCACAACAACAACAACACCAACACCAACAACAACAACAACAACAACAAGAGTCCGCATCGCGGAATTCCACTTCAGCCACGCACCCAGGGACAGTGGACGACCGTTCGGTTCAGCACCCCCACTCTGACAAGATAAGACATTCAGCCTCGTATTCGCTCCGCTGCAACATTTATTTTAGCATTGCTTTAACATGTGCTGTCGCATTGCTACCAAGAGTGATATGGTGGCTGACTCCGCGGTGAGGTTGTCGGGGATTCCGATGTCACCACGCGGTTTGTCGCCACACGGTTCTTTGGGAAAGCAATCGATACCGATACCAGTATTCCCTGGATATCTCCCTGGGCGCGTTCTGACCAGAACCCCATCCGCCCTTCAGGGTGTGAGTGGTTAAGATCGCTTCCTCTTCAAACCCCCTTCCTGCCCCTTCGGGGAAGGGTTTATCAGAGCGTTTCTTCTTCAAATTCCATTCTTCCCTTTCGGGGAAGGGTTTAACAATACTCCCTATTGATCAACACCTCCTCCCCCACCCGACCGGCAGCCCACCCAGACCCATGCAGGCACCCATGCCACCCCTCAACCATCCGTATCCGAAATAATACCAAATACTCTCTGCCTCGAAATCTGGAGCATGCGCGGGCGCCCCGCGACCACTTTGCATCAGTTGTTGACAGGGATGGCGGGTGTGTGGGCATGTTGCTTGATGCGCGCAGGCCAACACCCATCATCACTGTCAAAAAACAACACAATGTGCACGCTGCACCAAGATCTGGCTCGTGCGCGGTCGCCCCGCGGCCACTTTGCACGGGTTCTTGGCAGGGGCGGCGGGGGGTGGCCGCATGCCGCCTGTTGCGCGCAATGCCAACACTCTCATCCAAGCCTTGCCAAAGACCATGCAACGTGCGCTTTGCACCGATGTCTGGATCATGTGCGGGCGCCTCACGCTCACGCTAGGGATGCCAGAGGTACTGGCATCGCCTGCTGCATGCAGGCCCACCATCTGTTCAAACAGGAGAAAACAAGCTAATTTTGCGGGGGGGAGGGGGGCGGCATACTACCTGCTGCGCGCAGGCCCACCACCTCGACCAAGAAGCACATGCACGGCGATTGTGGGCGCACACCCGCTCACAACCACCCTGCGGTCACTTTGCCTTCGCTCTTGACAGGCACGGTGGGAGGGTCGACATTCTGCCAAGCGTGGCGCACATGGTGCGCGTCGCGCAGCTGGCAGGTGCGGCGCACCTCGCGGGCTTCGCGCTCCTCGCGGGCGTCTGCATTGGTCCCCGATGGTTGTCGAAGACGACCGCTGTCCATGCCGAGACTCGGGTGCTGCTTATGCGTTGGGATTGAAGGTGGGAATGAGCGAGACGGCTTGTTGCTTGTGGGTAGCTGGACCCCTCCCCCCTACCACCTCCCCTTGATCTGGAAGGGAGATGCCGAGACCGATTGGAGCGTCCAAGAGGGCCTCCGCGGAAAGGCACACCTCATTGGTGTATCTTAGGCTCTGGGCCTATGTTGGCCTCCCGGGGGGGGGACCCTAATTAGGAACCCCCCTGCTTTGACCGATCGCATCCCAGATGGTCCCAAGACGGCCCTCACGGCTCCCGAGTGCCCCAAGAGTGCCCAAAGAGAGGTACCGAGGAGGCTCCAAGAGGCCCCCAAGAGGCTCCCAAGAGACCCCCAAGAGGCCCCAACGGGCTCCCCCGAAGCACACAAGACGCTCCCAGAGACACCCAGGGACCGCCAAGAGGCCCCCAAGACGCCGCAAGTGGACTCCAAGAAGCTCTCAAGAGATATCCGAAGAGACTCCGAGAGGCATGAAAGAGGCCTCTGGCCCTTCTGCTAGTCCTCCTCCTCCTCCTCTTCTTCCTCTTCCTCCTCCTCCTCCTTATATTCCTCATCTGCCTTTTCCTCCTCGTCGGGGTTACTTTTTTTTACAGCCGCAGCCGGAAGCGCCTGCGGCGGCAGGTCACGGTCGTCGGGGTTACGCGAAGCGTCTAGAAGTCTGAAGCAAACCCAGCAATGGCTGCGAGGGTTCCCCAGGAGGCCCGAAAAGGCGAAAACGATTGAAAGGTAGCGGTACGGTCTTGATGCCTGTTCCTCCTTGGCGGCGCGCACAAGGGGGTATGGGGGAGGGGGGAAGCCTTGTTAGAAGGATGCTACTCCTTAGAAGACGCGGGCCCTACATCGACAATGCCCGCGCCTCCTGGGAAGCAGGGGTGCTTCTGAGAAGCCTTCCCCCCCTACCCCAACCCCCCTCTGCGCGTGGCCGACCTCTACTCTACTCTACCCTGAAGTAGGGTGTGTCCCCCTACAGGGGGATTTCCGACGAACAATAAAAAATACAATACTCCCAAATGGTCGAACAGATAATCAAAAAATAGTCCTCCGACTATTTTTGATCATTTCTTGAATATTCCTTATGTAGAGGCACGGGCCCGACTTAACTCTACCCCCGACACCATGACTTTCTCGTGGCGTCGACCGTCAGAGGTCTCATTGCACCGACCTCGCAGACGTGCTGTAGCGGACTTTCGCGTGGTCTCCTGTCCATACGAAACCCCGAAACGGCGAGCGAAGAACAAAGTTAATTCCACGTGGATGTTTTGTGGTCTTCATCCCTGGCCAAAAGATACCGGCACGAAATTCACTTCGGAATCCGAAACGAAACTCTCCAGGAGAATCTGGGCCCATCCCATCTTTTTCCGAACAGAATCCGATCTGCGATGCTGGCGCCATGAGATGTCTCGGCCCGTTCCGCTGGGCAGATGTTTCCTCCCGAGCCGTTCTGTGACGGTGCCGGTGGGCCGGCAGGGGCCTCCAGATGCCGAGGGTACTGAGAAACCTCCCGTCTTGATCATGTCATGGCCAGGAGAAAGAACGGCATACACATAAGCTGTTGGCGCTCCGCGCGGATTTCTCGGACCTGCGCTGGACCCCCGCTCCCTGGCGCGCTCCGCGCGCCAGGGGCGGCGCCGGAGGCGCCGCCGGGGGGGGGTCCAGCGTGGATCCGAATAATCCGCGCGGAGCGCCGAAAGTTTATGTGTATGCCGTTCTTTGTTTCTTCGGGAGAAGACAAAACGGCATCAGCATAATCTGCTGGCGCTCCGCGCGGATGTCTCGGATCTGCGCTGGGCCCCCTCCCTGGCGCGCGGAGCGCACCCGCGGCCGCGCCGATGGGGCGCCGCCAGGGGGGGGGGTCCAGCGCAGAGCCAAGAAAGTAAAAGTCAAAACATCCACCCCAGAATGACCACACCGGCACGCGAAGTCGTGTTCGTAAACACGCCCACAGAAGGAATCGAGTAGGGCAGGGCTGTTCAGTAGACGCCAAGGGCCGTTTAATGAACGCCAATTGTCCGGTCTGGGTGGTTTTTCCTCCTTGGAGAAAACTCGCGCAGAGCAGTAAACTTGTCTTACGTATGTCTGTGGCGAATTTTGTTTTTCGACTCCCGTCTTGACTCTGTCCTTCCCCCCCTCTGCGCGTGGCCGACCGACCTCCTCTGTGCATGTCGGGTCCCCGAATTGGGGGCGCTGAAGCATGGATTGGCGATCCGTGGAGCTGGCGCGCGGTCGCCAGATCCGTGGGATCGGGGGAGGTGCCCTCCCCAGAATGCGGCCGGCGCCGCCTCGTTAGGCGGCGGAAATCCGCGATTTCCATGGAAACGGGGCCCGTCGCTAATGAACGCCCCCATGATCCATGTTTGCGATTGCCTGACCCTCCCCCTCTTCCTCCTCCTCCTCCTCCTCCTCCTCCAACTCCTCCTCCTCCTCTTCCTCCTCTTCCTCCTCCTTCTCCGATCGTTGTCTGTCCCTCGCGATGCAGACGGCCCCCCTTGATCCATGTTTGCGATCGCCTGACCGAAATTTTGCCCGGGTCCCGCGGGGCCCGTGGCGGTC